CCCTACAATGGGTCTTTATTTTTCCTTTAATACCAACATTATTGGAGGTCAATAGTTCACAAAATAAGCCCAAATAAGAAAATCTCGTAACCAAGTAAAAGCTAAATCCCGCAATGCTGCTAGGGGCTGGGGGATCGATCCCCCAGCCTTGGGGATCGATTCCCAGGGGGTATTTTTTTGCACCTTTCTGCCAATAGTAGGGGATCGATCCCCCAGTGCTAGAAATCTCTTTTAAGCCCCGTTTAACTCCATTTTCACCATGGGCTAATCGGTTTGCTTTTTGATCATTGGGAACATCATCAAAGGCCCTGAAAAGGTAGAATTGACCGCTTTTGAAGGATAAGCGTACTATACGAACAATGGACTACGGCCTCTTTTTGCCATTTTCTAAACTTTTTCTGATTATCTTTGCTTGTCTACAAAAAGGCTTTAATGAACCGAAATTAGTTCGTTTGAACCTTATTGACCTGAAATTAACAAAAACATAAATTATAACTAAAACATGAAAATAAGATAGATGCAAGAACTAAAATACCCTATTTTAGGTGCTAAAATATGCAACATTTAAGCACTTATCACATGGCAAATAACATTTATTTTTGGCGCAAAAATATTCGCCCAATAGTAGGAATAAGCAAGAGGAGAGAGAGGGAGGGTTTTTTTTTGGAAAAGATGTGGGAGAGATAACGACATTAGAGTATGGTGAATTTTCCTTAATTCAAAACGGTGCAGTTTTTAAACTTTGGTAAATTTTCCTTATCGCAGTTTTCAAACTTGAGTTTAAATGTTAATGTCAATTTGTAGCAAATTCAACTTAAAATAACTTAGATAATATTTAGGGTAATGATATAGGTGCCGAAGGTTTTTGGCCGAACAGGGACGAATCTGATGTGGCAAGGCCACCTCTTATGATTAAATCTAAGTGAATCAAGAAAAAGACTAATGTACTAAGGGCTAGTTTAGTATGGTTCAATGAAATAAAGTGGGAATGGAATGAATCACGGAACGGACTATTCTCATTCCCATGTTTGGTTGCACAGAAAAACATCCTATTTTTGTAAAACACATATAAATATGTGTGTATATATATATATATATGTAGCCGACATTTCATTAAATGCTTTTTTTATTCATTTTATTATTATTATTATTATTTTTAAAGTGGGAATGAAATAGTCATTCCTTTGGTTGGAAAGTGGAATAAATTAGTGAGAATCACTATTCTCGGAGAATGGGTAAGAATCATCATTTCATCTTTAAAGTAAGTTACCAAACTAAAGAATGGAAACAAAAACATTCCATTCCCACTTCATTTGATTCCATCACTCACACCAAACATGGTGTAAATGTTTAGCATAATTTTCATTTAATAGCGTTTCAGATGTGAAATAGAACATTCAAGAAAGTCATCTCTCTCCGTCTCAAAACTCTATGGACTTCTCAATCTCTTTCTTCTCTGTCCTCCCCATCAATGTTTATCTGTTTTGCATCTTCACTATCTCGCTTTAAAAACCTTTAAATTTGTTCCATCCTCATGACTCCACTAGGGCCGGCCATCATCTTGCACATCAAAACCTGTTCAAATAACCTATTCTTTTCTATGGTCTTCTTTCTTTTAAAGGAGACCCAACTCAATAACAATCCACCATTGCATAAATCAAAAGACCCAATTTCCTTCACAAAAACCTAAATAAACCTTGAAGTGGAGGAATTTACTGTCATGCACCATGGCCAATTAGTAATCAAAAGGGAAGCAATGCAAAATTGGTCGGCTAAAAATGGATAAACTATGCAACATCAGAAATCATCCAAATTCAGTAATGCTAAACAATGTACTTTGGGTGTGTGTATATATATATATATCTTTGAACACCCATAATCATATATATTTATATATTTTTATTTACTTTTACACCTACTTTTTTTTGGTTCGCCATGGTTCTGCGACTGTCAAATAAGGGATTATTTCTATATATCATGGTGGTGTTATTCAAAAGAATACTTTATAACGCAGTGTACTCACTCCTGTGGGACTCCTAGTTTTTCACGCAAGGTCAGATATAAGAATCTGTGGCCTTGTTCGGCCAAAAACCTTCGGCCCCTATATCATCACCCTAATATTTAATTTAGAGAATTCAAATCCGTTCTAAAAATCCCCCATAACATTTATTATAGGGGCAAATAAGGATCTCCCGTCAGTTGGCCTTTAATGGTGTGATAAAAATATTAAAATGCCCTTCCAACAATTAAAAATAAAAATTTAGTTAATGTAATTTTTTAAAGTTTTTATGATCAAAATTTAAAAATTGCAGGAGTTTTATGATTTATGATTTTAACCCTTTTAATAATAGTATAGAATATAGATATATAATATAATAATAGTATAAATATATTATTTTATAATAAATAAAAAATAAATTTACCTGTTACTTGCCTTTTGTAATCGGCCTTCCTTATATTAGTGTCAATACTAATTTAATATCAATTTACCTTTCATTTCCTTTCCTTTCCTTTTACAATTATATTTCTCTTTCAATACGATAAGAAGGTACTCCGGGTAATACGGTATATGATATTTTCTGAGAAGTAAAGAGAACTCTCCCGAAGACACAAACTACAACAACAATTCGGTGAGTCTCAACAAAATTCGACCACAACAAATATTGGTTGGTGATTTTTCTCTGTTATTCTCTCTATGTTATGAGTTTTTAATTTAATGCTACGTTTGTTGTGTAGGAATTGAATGAAATGCAAGTGGAAATGGAATGAGAATGGGAATGGAATGGAATGGTCATTCTCATTCTATTGTTTGGTTGTAAATATGAAATGTGTAGGAATGAAATGATAATAACCATTCTAGTGTTTGGTTGGACCAATTTAAAATTTAGAATGGAATAAATTTCTAATTGAATTCTCCAAAATATCCCTCTTAGTAACAAATAAATTAAATTAACAAAACGATATTCTCTAATAAATTTTTAAAAATAAATGGTGGCAGTGGCGGTGGTGGATGGTGGAAAGCGGTAGTAGTGTAGATGGTGGTGTTGGAAGGCGGCGGTGGTGGCAATGGTGGAAATTGGTGGTAGCAGTGGTGGTGGAAGGTGGTAGTGATGTTGGTGGAAGGCGCTGGCAGTAGTGTGGTGGTTGTGGTGGAAGGCGCTGGCAGTAGTATAACTATAGTGGTGGTGGCGGTGGTGGAAGGTGGTGGCGGAATGTGGTGGGCGATGGCGAAAGGTGGTGGCGGCGATGGTGAAAGGTGGTGGTGGAAGGCGGTGGTGAAAGGTGGTGGTAACGGTGGTGGTGGCTGTGGTGGTGGCGGTGGTGGTGGCGGTGGCGGTGGTAGAAGGTGGTGGTGGCAGATGGTGGTGGTGGAAGGCGATGGCGGCGACGTTGGTGGTTGTTGAAGGCAGCGGCAATGGCGATGGCGGTGGCGGTGGTGGTGTAGGGCTATGGCGTGGCGGTGGTGGAAGGTGGTGGTGGTAGTGAAAGACGGTAGCAGTGGTGGTGGAAGGTGGTGACAGTGGTGAAAGGCGATGGTGGCGGTGGTGGTAGAAGGTGGTGAAAGGCAATAAAATGGTAGTGGTGGAAGATGGTGGCGGTAGCGGTGGTGAAAGGCGGTGGCGGTGGTTGCGACAAACGGTGGCGGTGGCGGTGGTGGTGGTGGAAAGTGGTGGGCGATGGCGAAAGTCGGTGGTGTTGGAAGGTAGTGGCAGTGGTGGTGGTGGTGAAAGGCGGAGATGATTGTGGTAGAAGGTAATGGTGGTTTTTAGACTTAGAATATGAGGGTGTTTTGGGAAGTCGATTTTTTAAAATAAATTACTTGAGAATGGAATGACCATTCCTTAGGTTTAGTTGTGGAATGGATTTTCATTCCCAGGAATGAATTTTCATTCCAATGGAATGGCCATTCCAACTTTAAGTAGCATACCAAACAAAGGAATGGTTGGAATGAACATTCCATTCCATTCCATTTCTGCACACCAAACGTAGCATAAGTTTTTTTGTTTGTTTGTTATGAGCTGTTTAGTTTGTAATTTTAAAAACAATTATTAAAAACTAAGAAACAAAAATTATTCTGATAGAACAACAGATATTTTTATAATTAAATTTTTAAAAAACTTAATAATAACCGAGGTTTGTTTTTTTTTTTTTTGTTTTTTTTTTAAGAAAAAAAAAACTCTTTTCATAGTTACAAAGTAAGTAGACCCTATTGTTATTGTCACACTTCTTCTCTCTATGTTATTTTAATTTAGTTTTTCTTTAAAATATAAATTGTTATTGTCACACTTCTTCTCTCTATGTTATTTTAATTTAGTTTCTCTTTGAAATATAAATTGTTATTACAATATGTTATTTATTTGAATTAATTTATACATGAAAGTTGGGAATTGTTAGAACTCAGAGGTTTGCTAATTTCTCTATAGAATTTGTTTGTTTGTTGGGCAGGAGTTTTGGTTCTTAATTCTGTTGTCTACTCTTGAATTCAAAACAACATGGAGCTTATTAAAATTACATATTAGGTGAACATGTGTTGCCAACAAATAAGATTATTTAAATTTTTTATTTTTTATTATTTTTATAAATACACTAATAAATGGACTTAGCATGTTACAATCTGAAAAAAAAAAAAATACCAATCCCATCTCAACATCTTGGAATCGTGCCTAGGGTTAGGTTTTATTATAAAAACCTGCTTTGTTTAATTTGTTTGATTTAAGATCCGAGAAGAGAATTTGATCTCTTGATTTGTTCGATTATATCTCATTGTAGTATTCAGATTTAATACTACAATGAGATATAATTAAAGCCTATTTAGATTCCTCTATCCTTCACCTCTCTCTTTAAGTCTCTATATATATTCAATCTTGTTTTTAAGAACACTTGTTTCGAATCTATGCTCTACTCACATTATCTTGATTTCACAGGATTGATTTCTAGGGTATTTACAACTTTTGATTTCTCCCTAGCGATTTGTTTCGGTTATATTGCTCCGCGTATGTTGTGTTTTGTAATCAAATACATGTATATATACGTATTTATGTATTCAATTTCATTTGTTCTTCACACGCAGGACAAATAATAGCAATAGCAAGAATATTGTGAGAATTTCTTTTTGGACTTTGTGACAGTTATGCTTTTGAATTTGGTGGTCCGTTTAAATTAGGTTTTGCGTGTATATATACATACATTTGTCAGATTCATCATGTAGATTATAAAATTTTCTGAGAACTTCTTTTGGTACAATCGGTTTTGTATGTTAATTTTGTGATTCTGTTATATATTTGTGTATGTGTTTATGATGTTCTTATACTTTTCTGATAACTTATTTTGTTACATTCGGTTTTGTATGTTAATTTTGTGATTCTATTATATATTTGTGTATGTGTTTATGATGTTCATATTCATACATTTTTCAGATTGATCACGTAGATTATAAATTTTTCTGAGAACTTATTTTGGTACTTTGTGGTTGTGCGTGTTAATTTTTGTGATTCTTGAACCGTGTATGGACACAAAGACCTGTATACCTTCATTTATGAATGTGTACGTATGCGAATGCATGTTAATTTTGTGATTCTTGAACTCTGTATACTGTATGCACACAGACTTGTATACCTTCATTTATGAATGTGTATGCACGTGTATGCATGTTTAAATACATGTATGCTTGTGCACACACTTTCTGAATGGAAATTGCACTTGATCCCGATTTGGGCTTTGTGTTGGGTAATTTTAGATTTCAGAAGGGTTTAAATCTGCATTTTTTTTTTTTTTGCATTAGTTGTTCAGAGTACAGATTAATATGATCATTTAGCAAACTTTATTCACATACAGTGTGTTACCAGCACTAGTATACAATCTTTAGAGCTGACTATGTATAGCTTTGAAATCAAGGTTCAAGTCATGTCCATGATATATCACGCTCGGTACACTAAAAGGTTTTCTGTGGTCATGTTTGTTATCCTATGCAAGTTTGATCAATTGTGATAATTCAATTATTTTTTTTTAGCAGATCATAGTTTGTGGTTATCTGGTTTAAACACAACAATGAACCAGTGGAAGATTATTGAGTTTGAGGAAGGATGGGAGTTTATGCAGAAGGGGATCACTAAGCTGAAGAATATTGTAGAAGGGCAGGAGTCAGAGTTCAGCTCTGAAGAGTATATGAAGTTATACGAGTATCCTTGTCATCTTGTTATTTGATCACTGCTATTTTTATTTTGTATTTAAAAAAAAAAAAAAAAAAAAAATTTAATGCATTTTATTAGTGATTTGGAAGAGAACTGTTGCTTGAGGTTTGATTTTTCCTTGATAGAATATAGAAACATCTATAACATGTGCACACAAAAGCACCCATACGATTATTCTCAACAGCTCTATGATAAATACAAGGAGGCGTATGAAGAGTACATTAATTCAACGGTGAGGAAACTAATGGATAGTTGCTGACATCAACATTATTACTGTGGGCTAATTGTTGCTAATTATGGATACTATTATTTTTTCGTTGTTATGGAATAGGAACTTAGCACGTCTGTATTGACATAAATGGACACTTCTAATTTCAGCATAATTTTTACTCTTTTGTATAAGCATGTCCATAATTAGATGGAAAATTATTTTTGATGAGAGTTGGTGACTTGAGCAAGTAAATGCATAATCATATATGAGATTTTTGTAACTGTGCTGAACATAATAATAGGGAAGAATCAGTATGTAGAAACGAAATGTTCCATGCTTTTGTTTTCTGTTAAAACGACGATTAGGAACTGATAAATGATGTTTAATGGCAAACAATTTGCAGTATCTCAATGAGATGTAAAGAAATTCTTGATATGGTCCTCTGTCCTGGGGTTTTTGTATCTGCAGTATCCTGGGTAATTCTTTCCAGCATAGCTGGATCCGTTAATGTTGCAATTTTGTAATGACCATGCATACTATCATTTGACCTGCTTCCTAGTACCTGTATTTCATGTTGTTGCTTAGTTTCTCCTATATTTAGAGTTGATTCTATTGCCACTGTCTGCCAGCAAAAAAGAGTAAAATATTACTAGATAACCCTTCTTTCTTGGGATAGATTTTTATCTGTAGTTAGGTTACCTCTGGCCTATTCAGGATCAAACTAACCTTAACTTAGAGCGGATGGAGTATCCCCCTTTCAGTTGAACCCTTTTCTAATAGCTTTCTTTTGAATGGAGGAGTGCATCTAGTATATATTGTGTGATAGGCCTATCCCTTTACAATTGACAGGGGAGATGTATAGAACAACTATCATACTTTACGGTACTGAATGTTGGGCAGGTAGGAAACAACATTTGCATAAAATGAGTGGTAGAAATGCAAATATTGAGGTAGAAGTGCTGTAAGACTAGAAGTGATAAGAGTTAGAAATGATCACATTTGGGAGATGGTTGGAGTAGCACCAATTGGAGATAAAATGAGAGAAATTTGGTTAAGATAATTTAGACGTGTAACAAAGACCTTTAAGTGCGTCGATTAGGAAAAGTGACATAGTCCACATTGAAGGTAATACTAGGGAGAGTGGAAGACCAATGTTAACATGGGTAGAGTTAGTAAAGAAAGACGTGATACCATGCGGATTGACCGACGCTATGGCCTTAAATAGAGCGGAATGGAAACGCAGGATTCATATAGCTAACCCAAGTAATTGAAAAAAAGCTTGGTTGTTGTTGTTCTTTTAAAATTGACATTTTTGTTCTTGAAAATTAGGTGTGTGATGATAACCTGTCTGGACATATTAGTGTTAACTTTGATAGAAAATTCTACCATTGACACATATATCATCTTATTTCCATGCAGTATTACAATTTATGCCAAGTTATTTCTTCCTTGTGGTGTTACCATATTATGTCCTTCTTTGTTTGGTTTGGAGCTTCATTGTTGGCCCCCTCCCTCCTATTTCCCTGTTAGCAGACTTCTGTTAATTGAATTGTTTCTGCTTGGTTTTTTGTGGCCATGGTATTCTTTTACTCTATATTATTCAAAATCTCAGTTTCATCAAGTTTTCTTTATCAGGTTTTGCCATCTTTAAGAGAGAAGCATGATGAATTTATGTTGAGGGAGCTGGTGAAAAGATGGGCAAATCATAAATTTATGGTCAGGTGGCTTTCACGGTTTTTCCATTATCTTGATCGCTATTTTATTGCTCGAAGGTCGCTTCCTGCACTTAATGAAGTTGGACTCAATTGCTTCCGTGACCTGGTTCGTTACCAGTTTATTTTTATTCCATCATTTCCTGATGTTAGTGTGATTTGTAAACTTGAGCTACAGTGTTTACTTTGTCATAAATTTCTTGTTAGTTTCCCGCAAATTTTTTATTTTTTTTTATTTCCTCCCAGTATGTTTTGGTGTCAACAATATTGGAATGAAAGTTATTTTATTCAAATTTCAGGTTTACCAAGAGATGAGGGGTAAAGTTCGAGATGCCGTTATCACACTGGTAACTTCGTTGTTACTTTCATTGGTCATGATTCTTTTCATTGTTAGCAATTGAGATGGAATTGTCAATGCATGTGGACTAGATTGATCAAGAACGTGAGGGTGAGCTGATCGACAGAGCTTTGCTGAAGAATGTTCTGGGTATATTTGTTGAAATTGGGATGGGACAAATGGACTGTTATGAAAATGATTTTGAAGATGACATGCTTAAAGATACTGCTGCTTTTTACTCTCAAAAAGCATCAAACTGGATTGTGGAAGATTCTTGTCCAGATTTCATGTTGAAGGTAAATCTATATATACAAGCTGTTATTGATTTAACTATTTGATCAACCCAGTGGACCCTTAATGCCTTTTATGTTAACAATAGGCCGAGGAATGCTTGAAAAAGGAGAGGGATAGAGTTTCGCATTATATGCACTCGAGCAGTGAACCAAAGCTAGTGGAGGTTAGTTTTTTATTTTTCATATTCTAATTTTTATTGTGTGTTTTAATTAATTAATGTAATATAGATCCTTTGATGACTTCCTTTGAGTGTGGATCTTGAATTCTTGATGAGCAATATAGATCACTTGATACCTTTTCTTTTACATATGGAGATGACTTGGATGCTTTTGAGTACTAGTATTAATTATAGCTCCTCCAATGTTATTTTGAAGGTGACTATATACACATAAAAATATCAAGCACGTTGTAACATTATAAATAGCAAATGAAAAATATCAAGAACGTCGTAACCTTATAAATAGCAAGTGAAACATATCAAGCATGTTGTAACCTTAATGTAATAATGATGTTTATTGTCTAACACAAATGTGCCCTATTCATGGTGATGTAATACTTGGAACAGAATCATTGTCCTGTTGCATGTTGATGCAAGCTATTGCTCTTGAAGCCTCTGATATAGATGGTTCGAAATGTTATTTTATAAATTATAAATTTTTGGTAGGGGTCATAAGATGTAGTGATGTACAAATATACTTGTTATAATTGATCTCCTGATCTTTGTTTGCATAGGACATGATTGTGTGGATTGTTAATCTTATTTATACATATTTAAAAAAAGTAATTAACAGGTCAGCAAATATTTGAATTTGTAATCAACAGTGTATTAAATGAGTTAAAAAACCCTATGATTTTAATATTAAACTATAATGTATAATATGTTAGATTAATAGAAGTGAGGCCTGATGGTAGGTACTTTGGGCCATAGGTCACTATGGTTTGCTTTCATTTTTCCAAATATATGAATATGCAGGTATATTAGATGTTTTACAAACTTATTTTTCAAGTTAAGAATGATTTTGGTTGTAACTTGTTGATCTACGATGTAATTCATATTATTATTATTTTGTACATACATGCACCATATTTAGTGCATTATATAAAGTTTATACTCTTATGGCACAGTATATATGCTACACCACAGCCCACTATTGGTGTAAACACTTGATGCACAATGTGTAGATGGAAGGAAAAACTTAAAATGGTGTCAATTATTTGCTTTTGAAATTTTAAAATTTTGTATTGACGTGATAATCATGATTTTTTTGAGTTTGTTATGTTGATGTTTTGGGTGCTTTAGTTAAATTTGTTCATTTGGTTTTTGCTCTTTCCACAGAAAGTGAAAAACGAGCTGTTGGTGGTATACACGAACCAGCTTCTTGAAAAGGAGCACTCTGGATGCCGTGCATTGCTTAGAGATGATAAGGTGTTTTTTGGAGTTGCATTTTTAGTTCTCTTTTTTGGAGAAATTGTGACCTTACCATCTGCAGATATTGATCTGTTCATTATGTTTACTTGATCTTTAGGTGGCGGATCTCTCTAGGATGTACAGGCTCTTCTCTGAAATTCCTAAAGGCTTGGAACCGGTTGCTAGTTTGTTTAAACAGGTTTGTTAGATTTACATTACTTGTCGAGTATGAGAGCCTTTTAAATCAGATCCATATGTTATATTACTGACATTTTGAGGATTTCATGGTGCAGCATGTTACCGCCGAAGGTACAGCCTTGGTCCAACATGCTGAAGATGCAGCAAGTAGCAAGGTTAGTATCTTGGTAAAACTGTTCATTTTGGAACTTGGCATATTTCTAAGAACTAGTTCACAAAGCACAAGTTGCTGTTGTACACATGTTTATCGACTCTTAAAAAATGCATGACATGTGTTGGACACTGGATAGTTAGACAAGTGTATGGGGTATGTGTCCAACACATAGTTGGACTATAGTTGCTAAAGTCGCCTAGGCTCCAAAAAAGCCCCAGGCTTGTCAAAGGCTCAGCTAGAGCGCCTCAACCTACCTTCAATCAGGCTCACTCACGCTTTTAAGTAGGCTTTAGGCTCAAAAAATGCACGCCTTGTATTTTTTAATTGTTTATTCATATCATTTTCTTTTTTACTTAATGACTACTAAATTAAAAGGTTATGTATCATAAATTTATGGTTCACTACCTACACCAAGTGCAATTACTGCTTGATTATGAATATGTATAATAATAAATGTTTAAATATGCATTATTATATACACGCGCCTGACTTCGATCAGGCTTGTATTGTGCCTTGCGCTTAGGCTCCAGAAGACCTTTGGCACCTTAGTGTGCCTTGAGCCTTTAACAACTATGACTTGGACATGCATTTAAAGTAAGATAAGTGCAGTTTGTAAGGTTTTCAAAAAGAATAATTTTGCTAATAAATGTAAAATCTGAAAGAAGACCGAACTTGTACAAATAAGATGTGTTGGTGAATTATATACTGGTTTGTGTTGTTAGATTGTTGTTTTACTAGTGATTGTGAGCTTAGAATTTGATGTGGTTGTCTTTTCTTCAGGTCTTGGTCAGAAAAGTGATTGAGCTCCACAATAAGTATATGGCATATGTTAATGATTGTTTTATGGGCAATTCTCTCTTTCACAAGGTATGAGTTGGAGATTTATGTATTTGTTTGGGTAATTTTTCCTCTCTTTTTTTATTTTTTTAAATTTTATTTTGTGGCTAACTGTCACCTTTATTGGCCCTTTTCTAGGCCGTGAAAGAAGGTTTTGAGGTATTTTGCAACAAAGCTGTTGGCGGCGCGTCCAGTGCAGAACTACTGGCTTTATTTTATGATAATATCCCGGAGAAGGAGAAGGGTGGGAGTGAAAATGATGCAGCAGAGCATAGTCATAGACTTGACTGACGGATGGATGTACGTACACTAGACTAAGATAAGGAGGATGCTATGGCTGCACATCTCTGTGTTGTATTTGACACACAGATTTTATGTTTTCTTAGTCATTGTTCCTCATTTAATGGAACTCGTTATTTCAGATATTTTGAGGTTCCTATATTGGACTTTGGTAAAGGGTTTCCACTTTGAAATTGTAATTAGTACTTTTTGTCTGTCCGACTTAAAATTTGCAAGAAGGTCCTAGTTCATTTTTGAGCCTTTTATTTGCCTGGTATTTCTTTCCATTACCTAGTAGTATACTTTGTTTTCCTATCACCATTGATATTGCACCTAAACACCGACGAGGCCTTGTGCAGGAGTTGAGTTTTGACATAATTATCCTTGGTTACATTCTCATCTGTTACGCTTAATTGAATTTGGGTCCTATCATGAGACCTCCGCACGCCAAGTCTCAAAATGTGGAAATCTACCTGAATACTACTCAGATGAGATTGAAGCATTTCCTGGAAAATCATATGAAATTTGAGTCCTACAACAATTACCAAATATGCATAAAAATATATAATTAATTGTTTATGCAAGTGGAAATGTTTTACAAAATAACTTGAAATTTGGTAATAAAGGGAAATGTTAGCAAAAAGCTAACAATAAAGGTTTTAACAAGTCTCACAACATCTTCAATATAAGCCACTTCAAGGGAGATTCCAGGACAAATAGTGAACTGATCTCCACAACCCCCAGGCTTAAAGAACTTGTTTCAATTAGTTCTCTGAAATATTTTCAAGTTTTTTATTTTTATTTATTTTTTTATTTTTTATATATATATAAAAAGTCTGGAGAATTGAAAAGAATGCTCTCTGAATTTCGAAAACACAGTTTTCAGAAATCTTTCAACTAAAATGAACTTCTAAACTGTTTAATGGTTTTTTTATTCTAGAAAATTGAATCGAACAGTTTCAAAATCTACTCATTCAAATCAATTTGATTATACAACACAAAGAAAGTGGGGAACATCATGGTTTCGTAAGAGCTAAAAACAATACTCAGATACCCAAAAATATGGTACTACAAGCCTACAACGTATCGAAGAATGAAAAAACCTGTTACCCTGCCCTTCATTGCCTAGTATAATACTAACAAAAACCTCTCATGGAGCAAAATCCATCATAAAAAGGTACCAAATTAATGTTGCATTTGGGTGTACCAGCCAAACAACAAGTTACGATGATAATCCTGAGGCATTGTTTTCTTCTAGCTCAACTGCCATTGGAATACATATATCTGTATGCGTGTAATCAATGTCTTTACGAGGTTTGATTGTTGAATGGAATTTGAGGGGACTTCAATGAAGTATTTACATTGAATTATTAATTTGTAGTGTGTTAATATCCGACATTGTTTGCGAAGACATAAGATTTCCTATTTATAAACGTCTCGATGAAATTCAACCTACAGCCGAGCCTTGTCACGATGGCTTGTTACTCGAGTGAGGGCTTTAAGATGGTTGGAGATTGGCTTGGTCCAGAAGGTTGGGCTTCGTAGGGTTTAATCGCTGGCTCGCCCATTCCAAGTATGGAGTTGGTCCTCGGTCCTTGGGCGTAGGTCCAGGTGTCATGGGCCGCAGAGTGGAGGGCACATCGTGAGGCTGGTTTCACAGAGCAGCGGTGGAAGGATAATGAGTCGGTACTCTCCAGGTCCTGCAACACCCGATGAGCCACTCTCAATCAGACAACAATTTTTTCCCCTTTCTTTTTCATCCCCGCTGTTACATTGTAGGATTATTTTTATTTTTATTTTGCTGGGGTTAATTTTGATGTTTTTTTCATCCTCGCGGTATGAAGTTTTTTGGTTGAAAGATTTCAATTTTTTAAAAAGAGTTTGAACTTGAAGGAAAATTTACTTACAGACAATGCTCTAACTTGTTTATTGGAAGTGGATTAATTATTTTCATAGATTGTTAAAGAGTTCGTCTCATCAACTTCATTATGCTTGCATATGAATGGGGTCAACTACATGAATTAATTCTCTGTTTCCGTTACATGCCATTTAGCCTTTTACTATATCCAACTTTTTCAGGTCATTTGTAATAATCTCTTCTCATGTTATCTCTAATTTTTTCACCAAGATTTTTTTTTTTTCATGGATTGTTAGAGTTGATTTTTAGAATCTTCATTTTTCCGAAAGTGTTGCTTACTTCTCCATTCGAGATGGAGTTATAACAAATTTTTATCACATCTGGAATCTGTTATTGTATATATATGTGTGTAATAGTTGTTCTCTTCCATCTTTGCTTATTTATGGTGCTCCTCTAATTAATTTTGTTGAAAGTTCTTCATTTTACTACAACCTTTAATTTTCTTCAAAATTGCTGGACATTTCTTCTATATTCAAAATTAGTTCCACTCGAAGTGTGGGGAGTGGGGACACCCTCCAGTCAACAGACGTGTAAATGATGTAAATATTATTTCCCAGATTGAGTAATTTTAGTCCTTGTAATAGCATTATGTTTAGCACTGGAAATATGTAGATGTGATTCCCACTAAAGCAAAGACTTAGTGTGGTGTAAAGAAGGGAATCTCAACAAAAGTGGGAAGGTGGCCTCTAAAGAAAGAGTATAAAACAGGATGATGTAAGATTTTCTTAAGTTCCTCAAAACCCTTCTAGAAAACTCCTGGGGTTCTTCTACTTTCTTTCAATACTTGAGTGCCTGCATCCACTTGCTAATTTAATTTTCTTAAAAGTACACTAAAAGTTGTGATGGATTCCTCAGCAAACTTCACTCTTCCTTAATCAATTAGTCATTGACCAAACTACCCATTTCTATCTTCAAAAAATCAGTGGTTCTTAGCCTAACAATGGAAACTTTATTGGTTACTGCAGTGGTCAGCCCTTGGAAAACATGATGGTAGGTGATGAGACTCAACCAGTTTGGTTTGTGCTGTGGATCATGGCCATGCTAACTAAACAAGGGGTATGACCATATTAGCCTAAGGTATTGCTTTTCTTCTTGTACTACTTTTGTCCTTCTGCCTTGTATATACTGTATAATATTGAGAGAGCAAAGTTGTAGTAATTGTTTACTTAGCATGGACCACTTGCCATGTTCCTAAACAGTGATCTCATAAGGATTAGTATAGTTGGAGTCGGATGATTGGCCAATTTAGCAATAACCTTTCGCGATTAGCATAATCTTACCGCATAAATTAACTGATAATTTTAATATAAAATGAGGGGATACATTCCACAACAGTACAAAATGGTAATGGAGGAAAATAGTTCATGTATGACCTTAGCATCCAATGTTAAGGGAGGTGCATGCTACATGGTGTGAGTATCATCTTTCTATTCATCTGGGGAAAGAGAGCTTCCTATTGTATGGAAGCACTTGCCTTTGTTCCTATTTAAGTATTTGTAGATAAGTGATCAGGCCCTTCAAGTCATAAATTTGTCTAATTAAATGAGCACATGTGTCTGTGACTTCATTCTGATTTTCAGTTCATGTATGTGTGCCTCATTTTTAGACAAGTTATTTCTTTTATGGTATAAAACTATAAAAGGAACTCGAAACACAAAAACAGTATAAAGTACCTAAGAATGAATAAAAATACAGTGAGACAAAATAGTATGAATATAATATGAAAATGTATACCAACAAGTGTGTGTTTGGTGTGCTTGCTATTTAAGTGACCTCAAGACAACAGGATCTTAAACATCTTGAGGTACTTTTTCAAAGTTGTATTAGTCTGAAATTCTTGTAATAAAATGCATGGTAGGTAAGAAGAGGATGTGTATATATATTATCTACGATTAATTTTTTTCCTTTTTCCCTATGTTACAAAAGATCTCCAATTCAAACAATTATCAAGTAATGCCAATTTGAAGGTTCCTAATTTCTTCTCCTACCTCTTCCTGAAAGGTTTAAGCACTAAATAAATCAAATTTCACTACAATTATGATCTATTGAGTACTTCTTCAACCTCATAATCCATTTTTATTTTTATTTTGGCATTTTATTATGAATTTTTGATTTGTGAGATTATGATGCATTTGATTTGAAACATCAATTGTAAGAGCAGAGTCGGCGTACATAATGAGAAAAACATATCTTAATTAATAAATACTTTGTACAAAATTGAGCCAATGCGTTACTAGGCCATTCTAAATAAATCACAATATGAATTATGTGAAGTGCGTGGATGGTTTATCACGTCATGGCAAATTAAGGTAATGTGACCTATAAGTATGCCCTATTCTATTGTTTTTTTTTGTACTACTTTTGTCCTTCTGCCTTATATATATGATATTGAGAGAGCAAAGTTGTAGTTTTTGTTTGCCTAACATGGACCACATTCCATGTTCCGAAACAGTGATTTCACAAGGAAGAGTCAGATGATTGGTGGAAATATTCCATATATCACTTATAACTGATGACTCTAATATAAAATGAGGGGGGATATATTCCATAACAGTACAAAATGGTAATGGTGGAAAATTGTTCATGTATGACCTAAACATGGCGTGAATATCATCTATCTGGGAAAAGAGAGCTTCCTAGTGTATGGAAGCACTTGCCTTTGTTCCTATTTAAGTATTTGTAGATAAATGTGTATGTGTGTATACATAATGAAAATATTCGACTTGGCATTATTTAGAAATAACTGAACATATATACGTGTCTGTGACTTCATTCTGATTTTCAGTTCATATATGTGTGCTTGAACTAAGCAGATACAGCCTCATTTTTAGGCAAGTTATTTCTTTTATGGTAAAAAACTATTAAAGGAACTTGAAACACAAAAACAGTAGAAAGTACCTAAGAATGAAGAAAAATACAGTGAGACAAAATACTAGGAATATAATATGAAAATGTATACCAACAAGTGGTGTCTGGTGTGCTTGCTATTTAAGTGACCTCAAGAGAATGGGATTTGAGGTAGAATAGGGGACTTTTTAAAAGTTGTATTAGTCTGAAATTCTTGTAATTAAATGCATGGTAGGTAAGAAGGTGAATATATATTGTCTATGATTATTATTAATTTTTTCATTTTTCCTATGTTACAAAATATCTTCAATTCAAGGGGCTTCCTTGTCAGTACGATGTATTTGAACCATCCTGTAAACCTCCAATGCAATACAATTATGTCTGTGTTGCTCGAAACTCAAGTACTAACCTACTGTAAATGTAAGAAATTAAACAATTATCAAATAATGCCAATTTGACAGTTCCTAATTTCTTCTCATACTTCTTCCGGAAAGGTTTTAGAACTTAATAAATCAAATTTCACTACAATTATGATCGATTGAGTAATTCTTCAACCTCTCCGATTTCTTTCTTTCTTTTATATGTATATATTTTTTATTCTTTTATTTTTTATTATGAATATTCGATTTGTGAGATCATGATGCATTTGATTTAAAACATCAATTGTATGAGTGGAGTTGCTTACATAACAAGCAAAACATATCTTAATTAATAAAATAGTACAAATTGAGCCAATGCGTTGGCCGTCTAAATAAATCACAATATGAATCGAATCATGTTGAGTGCGTGGATGGTTTATCAAGTACAATAACATCATGGCTCTAAATTAATGTGCACCAAAATTAGTGTGCCTAATGTGATGGGTAATGTGGAGCCTGATAGATACTGTACACCAAGTCCCAACTCCGCGGATTCAATTGCTGCTTTAGTGCGAGGGTATTTATTCATTCTGAACTCTCTTTATCTGCTGTTGTTTTTTGATCATCATAGTAAAAATTCTTGCAACCCTTGGATATAACCCTGAATTCTGGGTGAATCAAGTAAAATATGTGTGTTCTTGTTGTGTATGTGTTTGATCTATTTCTTGTGTTTTCTGTTTGATTTCGCAACATGATGCACAATGAATGGACAGTTCAGTTAGGAGCATATTATTGCCTGTGCAATATCTTAACACTGTGGAGGCTGTAGAGAGCGGTACTTAGACCAGTACCTCTAGAACTTTATCAACTGTGGTACTTAGACCAGTACCTCTAGCACTTTATCTTTTTATTTACTAATCCAGAGTTCCAGGGCTGGACCATGACATATCATGTAGAAACCTAAATATACAGTAGGTAATCCAACATTAGGGCTTTGAATTAATTTTTTATCTGATCTTTTTAGGTCTGTTAGGTTGCATTAATCCCACTACCAAATGAAAAAGTTTATATATGTAGTCCATAAGTATACATTGTAAGCATTGTTTATCACAATTAAACTTATTGAGAACACTAAAGCTACTGAACAAATGGGGGGACCATATGGTCTATAATTGGTAAATGCAAGTCATTTTTAATATTTTTAGGACTAAGATTGCTCCCACAAACCCTCAAAGTATCCTTGGTTGCATAAGATCAGTAAGACAGTAACCTAACTCAAACCAATATCGGAAAATTGCCTGCCACTATGTCCCCCAACGATGCTGACTGTGTCGGTGTCATGACAATGGCCCCTCGTGTTATGGAACCTTTATTACCTAGCTATATGGTGCACATGCCCATAAACATGGTCATACTTCTATACATGTGTATGTACATATCTATATAGAGGCGAGTTAGCAACCAAGGCAGCAACGTACGTGTCTACGTTTGACAGGATCAAGTTTCTCTTTGTAGAAATGGTTGATAATATAGGTTTTAACTCAGACATAGAAGGCCCTCAGTACAATCTTGCAGGTGCTAGCAGAGCCTCAGGAGAGGAAGGGGTCATCAAGGATCAAGATCGTTTGCTGCCGATAGCTAATGTGGCCCGGATCATGAAGCAGATCCTGCCGCCTAACGCGAAGGTATCCAAAGAAGCAAAAGAAACCATGCAAGAATGTGCATCTGAGTTCATTAGCTTTGTCACTTGTGAAGCATCGGACAAGTGTCACAAGGAGAAGCGCAAGACTGTGACTGGCGAAGACATTTGTTGGGCTCTTGGGACTCTAGGGCTTGATGACTATGCTGGGGCAGTAAAAATGTATTTGCATAGATATAGGGAGTTAGAAGGGGATAGAGCTAATCAGTGCAAGGCTGGCAACAATGAAGAAGAGGAACCATCAAATATTAGAGGTGAATCACCAAACAAACCTACAGTTTCCCCTACTCCATTTAAGTTCAATTTAATTAGTGGAAAGGACTAATCTCCCTCTACATTTATTTTCCTACTTTTATTTTATATAATGATCAGCCAATTGATATGATGTTTGTGGGAATGGGGGGTTCACTTGTATGGTCTCAGATTTGTTCTCTGATTGACTGTTAAGATTGAGATTAATAAGAAATCACCTCTTCTGAAGCTAATCCTTGTACCTTTTCAGATAACGGGGTTTGTGAATTAATGTAGTTTGTATGATAACTGATTTTTGTGTCTTCATTTGTACTTGAGAGTTAGAATATATAAATTTAGGGTTTTATTTGAGCTTACTTGTCTTGCTAATATATTTCTCTTGGTCTTGATCTGAGAAATTCAAGTGGGAGGCTTGCTATGAAGGGGATAACTCGCTTCAAGCTTTGATTATAATCGGACGGAAAAGTGTAAGGCCCCTTTGCCCCATATGACAAGAACACAAAGATCGATATATGTTCACCATATTGCATATTACTGCAAACCAGATGACTAGGTCTTTCATCTCTTTTCTTTTCTCTGGTTAATTTTGCATAGTCCACTTATCACAAAAAAAAAAAAAAGTACTTGCTATGATGTTCCCAATTAAACTCTTACAAGTTTATTTTGTATGGTTAATTGTAGACTTTGATTGACAGTATTAGGTTCTGAACTTCATCTACGTTAATTCTTTGCAAATTTAACTAACAATCTCTCTCTCTCAGAATTACCATGGGATGAAATGAATCAAACACTTCATTAACCCACCACTCCTTCTCAAAGAGAGAGAGAGAGAGAATACGTAGTTCAATTGCATCAAACTCGGGCAGCATGCTGATGGCATACAATAGGTCAAGTGTCATCCATAGTTAGCATGCTAATTTTATGCACATCAGTCACCACTTGGCCCAATTTTGTCCACATCCATTAGTCGCACACAAGACATAAAATATGATTGCTTGCTTGCTAATTCATGCATAACAGTTACCACATACTTTGGTTCAATTACTGTGACCACATCTAATTGAATACACATTCAACATTCAGTAAAGTTAGCATTCTCTAAATGGTTTAGGGCTAGGATTTTCTTTAAAAACCCTAAAACCTGGGACCACAGTTTAGTTGCTCCAAAGTAGTAGTTTGTACTGAAAAAACTCATCAGGTCAGTATGATGCTAACATTTTCTATATTCAAATGGAATGGATCATCCTCCCACAAGTGAGGATGACTCAAATCTCTAGGTCACTGTATGTCTTTTATATAGATGCTTAGCAGACAGAGACAAGTAAAGAGAGAACTATTAGAGGTTATCAAGGCTTTCTAGTGTTTCTCTAAAAGCATACATTAAGCTCTTGTTTAATCATTTAACAGAAACGAGTTCTTGATGATCACAAAAGGAAGGTTATATATATATTTGTATATGATATAAGATATATTTACAAATTAACATATATATATATACATACATACAAATGGGAGGAATCCACTGGATACAAAAGCATTATATGCTCAATGCCATACCATGAAATGTTTTACTTATCGGAAGAACATACATATATATATATATATATATTTCACTAGTGCAAGGCTCAAACAGTCTACTAAAGGAAATCTCTTCGTCATATAGACCATTATCATTTTCTCATAGCTTTTTGGCACTTCACTGCTTGTTGGCGAGTCTTAATGCAGAGCCTAACTCACTATTTATTAAGAAAACACTTCAGTGAGTCCACCTATCCCATTGTAATGTGAAGAGAACAGGCGAATAAGGAGTTGTCCATGTGACATCTAGCAGTTTGGTGTGATGCAACATATTACAATGTGCCCAAGGACACGAGATTGAGTTGGCACAACCTGGATTTTGTCCTAAACAAAATATATATTATGCCAATGCTCTTTCATACAACATCAATAATACATAGCATAATTGTTAGATGTGCCAGTGCATATTGATTTATATCATTGTGGTGTCGAGACACTTGAGCTTTTGCGAGTCTCGGATTAGCATTGTTTCTACATGTTATCAGTCATAGATTTAATTAGAATACTGCAATTGTGCACTTTGATGTTGATATTTGCAAGTAGGTCTTAAATCATTCATTTAATTAGCTTTACCCAAATTGCAGCTTGAATTGCTTCAAATTGTGGAATGAATAAACTCTAAAGCCATCTGAAGCTGTGATTACACTTTCAATTTCTCTAGTTTATTTATTTATTTTCAAATCTAAATTCAAAGCATTCAAATTAGCTAATTCTTTCATTATTGTTATTTTTATACATGTTTACGAGTACATTTGAAGTTTGTGTTGGCTCTGTTATACTGTAGTCTTTTTTAATTTGCTGATAAATTACTAGCTTTAGGGCAGAAGCAAATGGGCTTTCATTCTTTTTTTCCCCTGAAAATTGTCTTATTTATTTGTTCTTTTACTGCAGTGTCTTTACTTAGTTTAATCTAAATTGAAATTACTTGCATCAATTCATCCAAATAGACTATGCAAATTCACAATATTATAACAAAATTTAACACTCAAGACTATTTTTTACATTACATGCATTTGCTCAGACACTTAATTGTGCCATCACTTGCTGGACAAGGGAAGCAGATATTACACTTTATGTTAATCTGCAGAGGTTCATCTCCTCTCCACAAGTATAGAGGCTAGACTGTTATTTTTATTGTCCTCTACAATATAACTACATCAAGTGTGCTGAATTTTCTTCTTATAGCTTGGTTGATGTTCTAAAGCTCATATGTCATTCCCACTTTTAGCATGCGCTTGTGAGGTATATCAAACACCTTCTCAGTCTGTCTCAAGTTCCTCTTCAAGAAATTGTAAGCATAATCTATCAATATCTTCTTTCCTATGTTAGCTCCTTTCCCTGCAATCACTTCATTCTCACCCATCAAGTGAACAACCCCGGCTCGCCATGCTTTCTCCACTACTTCAATCTCTCTCTCCATTGCATCTACTTGTTTCTCAGCTTCAGCTTGCTTTGAATCCTCGTTAACGTTATCACCATTACCTGATCCATCATCTATTTCTCCATCCTTTTGGTTATTGCATACCATTGCATGAAACATCGAATCCTCTCTAATGAACTCCTTCAACCTGTCAACTAACATCCTTTCAAAGGGCTCATGTTCATTGCGTGCATCAGTGTATCCGTATCTCACAACACAACGGAACACATTGAGCTCATCTGGTTTTATTCTTCTGAAGATGACTCGCTCTTCTACTGGAACTTTGCTTATGGGTAGTGACTTGATTGAGACAAAAACGAGGACGGAGTGTAATGCAGGTACATTTTCCACATAATGCTTGAAGATGGGTGGAATTCCATGAACAAGCTCCGAGTAGAAGATAGCGAGTCCTGGTATTCGACAACAGTCTGTATCAGCAGCTATCTCCTTCACCTTCTCAGGAGAAATCTTGTGATCTAGCTCATAATGGTATTTCCTTCGGTACACATCATTCCAAGTGTACATGATAGCCATTAGAAGCATTGCGAAAGCCAAAGGTAGATATCCTCCTTGATCGAATTTGTAGAGGACTGAGCTTAAATAGAGAAATTCAACCGTACAAATCACAAGAACATATGAAATCACCAGAAGTATGTGGGTTTTCCATATCATGATCATGATCAATACTAGGAATGCTGATGTTAGAGTCATCACAAACACCACCGCGATCCCTGCACGTACAATGCAACAAATTAATTCTCAGTCTCAACCTTTACATAGCTAGGAAGAAATGTTTAGAGTAGTGAATTACGTACCATATGCATTGCCAATCTTTGTAGTAGTTCTGAAGCCAACAGTGACACCAACACAAGCCAACATGAGAAGATAATTGACTTCAGGGATGTAAACTTGTCCCTCGTACTTAGCCGATGTGTGAACAATTTTAACACGAGGAAAGCAGCCGAGAGAGAGGGACTGTTGGATAATTGAGAAAGTCCCCGAAATCATGGCTTGGCTTGCTATGATTGACGCCAATATGGACACACCAAACATTGGCCAATACAAAGCGTCTGCATTGAATTTATTTTAATTGTCTGAAGCAGGAAATAGATCAAAGAATGAAATGGACATTAATATATGTGTATTACTTACGTGGTATGGACTTGTAGAAGGTTTCTGAGACCAAATCATTGTGCTTGCGAAGGAAAGAGGCTTGTCCAGTGTAAGCTAATATGAGTGCTGGGTACACAACACTGCACATGCTTATTTGTATAGATCGAACAGTGAAGTGTCCAACATCGGCAAATAATGCTTCAGTTCCTGCATTTTGCACATAATAATGTATGGTTCAACAACTATATATATATATATATTTTCAGGTTTGCTACATTCATCAAATTAGGGCGAACAGACAAAAAAAAAAAAGAAAAAGAAAAAGAAAAAGAAAAAGAAAAAAAATAAATAAATTCCAACCTGTTGTAGCGAGGACGACGCCACCAAGTGAAACCCACGCTTGTTTTTTGTTCCTCACGAAATAATCAATGATGTACTTTGGATTTATGGCTTTAACAACAGTGGAATCAAATTTGAAGAAATTATAGACGCCAATGCCGGCAATGAGACCGAACCAGACACATATTATGGGAGCAAAGCTGTAGCCAACTTTGTCAGTTCCAAATCTTTGGACCATGAATAGGCAGACTAAGATGGCAACTGCTATCCAAACAATCCTTTCTGCACACAAATCCATGTATATAATAGGTTTGTTGTTATTTGGAGAGATTCTTCTGACCAATTAAAACTAAAAACAAAGAATTGTGTTTGTGTTTCTTGGGCCTGCTTTGGGCTGTCGTTTGGGCTTCCCATGCTCAATTGTACACTGCATGTATTGGTTAGCTATTGCTATCCTCCTCTTTCTTTTATAAAATTTATCAGTTTACCCTTCAAAAAAAAAAAAACCTATGAACAAATTTTGCAATTTAAGATATTCAAAGAATAAGGTATCGGTGCCTCAAAATGCAATAAGGTGCAACTTAATGACGTGGGTTATTTTAGTTTTCTTGAATGTATCACTGAATTGAGTCAAGAGTGTATTCGGTTACATGGAATTAAATTCTTCCAATTAAAATTGGTAAAATTTGAGAAAGACAATTAAATTAATTTTATTTTATTTTTAAATTCTATCAATTTCAATTCCAGAAGAACATGCCCTCAAAATAAACCAATTAGGGTTTAGTAAAAAAAAAATAAAAAAAATATTGATTTGACTCAGACAACCTTTTTTTTTTTTTTTTTTGAAAGATAGATTCAATTTTTGACTCAGACAACCTTGTGGTCCACTAAAAAAGTGAATCTTTCTTTTACTAGCAAGGTTGAAAATAAACTTCTTTTCCAATATAAGTGGCTTATTGCAGACAAAATATAAGGGTATTATATTGTATGAAAATTGGTGGTACAAATGTCAAATATAGTGGCTTGTGTTGGTCGAAAATTATGTAAAAATATGCATGAAATTTATGGTAAGAAAGTAAAGTAGCAAAAGGCGCAAGTATAACGTGTTTAAAGCTTTTGTTTCATACTGTAATTTTTTTAAAAAACTATGACAACTAATTCAATGATTTGCATTATTCAAGGCACAGTCAGCAAGAAAAACAAGACTCCTTCCTATTTCTTTATTTTCTTTTTAAGTACTCAACCAAACAAGACTTCTTAATTTCTATTTTTATATATTACTATCGTTCCTTGATCCTAATGTATTTTTTTCTTCCCGACAAGTTAGGGGAGAAGGATTCGACGAAGGACACATTCAATTAGAGAGTTGAACACTCTACCAATTAAGTTACGGAATGATTAATGTTCCTAATAATATCATCTTTAACCAAATAATGCGTCACCATAATTTGTACAGGTGCATTTTGATAAAACTAAAGTAGTGATACTTCAAATATTTGAATTTTTTTAATCATGAAAAAAAATTATTTAATTTTCTTAAACTCTTTTAGGGCTTGTTTGGAAATCATAATTGTTTTGTACTTTTTTTTTTATCCAAAGTAGAAACAACGTTTTTGTTTTAAACTGTCTTCAATACTATTTGGAAGTATGTTTGGTGATGTATGGTTGTTGCAAGATTTTTGAAAACAAAAACTTGGAAGCATTTTATATATATATATATAAAATGTTTCAAATTTGAAAAATAAAATGACAAATTTAAAAGGTTATTTTAGATTTTTTTTTGGGCTACTATTTATTGCTACAATGTGAAAGCAACTTTCGATTTTGGTCTTTTTTTCAGAAATACTTCAGCATTATTCAAATCACAACAAATGTTATCAAACACGTTTCGTACTTTTGCCTCGTTATAATATACCGTCCGAAACAAAAAAAAAAAAAACACAGAACATGCCCTTAATTTCTATTTCTAATAGTAAATGAAAATTTATAATATAAATTATTTTTATCACTGGATGAACAGTTCAACTATGTTGTAATCTAACCAACTGCACGTAAGAATCAAATGCTAAAAACAAAAAAATAAAAATATTGTACAATTTAAATTGTATTGTATTTAGAAGTATCGAATCACGGTCTTAAAATTGAAATTAATAAAAAAAGAAAAAAAAAAGGAAAAAGTCTAAAGTTCTCCAACATAGAAGTATAGAATATAAAATTAAACTACGAAGATACCCTTCTCTTTATAATATAAGAAGATACCCTTCTCTTTATAATAAACGCGAACAAATTATTACTATAAAGCAACAACTCTAATTATGAGTCATTTTTTTTGAAGTTTTTAAAAAGATTCCAAGTTTGGTGACGTGATGTTGAAAAGCTTAGTAACAACTTGAGCCATTGGATTCAACAGTAACGTCAGCACTTTAATAGTCAAAGTATAAAACAATATACATATATTAATAATATGTGTATAGACACAGTAATATATGGTATATACATGCATCTATAACGGAAAAATCAGATTAGGATTGCGCGATATATATATATATATATATATATATATATATATAACGTGGAATATATACCTTCTGTCATGGAGGACGTAGCTTCCTTGATCCCACCAACAGCCGATAACACTGCCGTCGAGTTGGAAAAACATGTGATATGTTAGTCAAAAATCATAACAATATAGTCATCATATATATAAATTAGAGGGTAAAAGACGAAACTCTTTTCTTCGTGACCGTCCAAAATAGTTGGCAGTATTGGCACAAATGGACAAAACCAAACACGTTGTAATTTATAACACGTCATGCCATTTTTATTTTTTTTACTTTTTTTTATTTTTTAACTAGCTTTTTAAAGTCAATAGACATGGTATATGATGTGTTTTGTTTATAATATGATATGTATGCCATGAAAATGTAAAACAACAACGAGTCAACCAACAATTTGAAAATAATCCCAACCCACTGCCAATAATAGAATTTCTTTTTCCTAAATCCAAACCAAACAAAAAGTAATTAATGATTTCAATCGCTAAATATTTAGTTTACTTTTATTGAAAACAATTTTTAAGAATTTTATAAGAACAATTTTACATGATAGTAAAAGATTGTTTTATTATGTTTAATAATACTTTCAAAGAACTGTTGATCAAATGAATATTGTAATAAAATTTTTAAAAAACTGAACAAAGCATTGGATGGAATATACATTAATGCAATAAATAAGATGTGTAGAAATGGTATAAGTAAAAAAACCTGAGATACAAGGTGTGAGGACACCATCACCGATGACCATTGATGTGCCAAGCATTGTGGCAAATAAGAGGAAAAACTTCGCAAACTGGCTATTCTCTAGCTTAGACTTGAGCTTCGATGCTAGTAGCAAGCGATTATTAGGCAAATCAAATTTATACGTTGACACATCTCGATCTTCTGCTTCTTGACTTGGAATCAAACCCACCTTGGCATATCGGCATAGTAGAGAGTACAAAGCAAATGTTCCTCCTGAAATAATTAATTAATTATTTTTTACATTATAATTTACTCCGTATTATATACACACACACACATAGGGTTTAAGAAGGAGAAACTTCAGTAAAAATTCAGGAACATTATCATCTATGTACGAATTAAAACCTGAGCTGGTGAAGCCCACATTACCTTTATTAATACTAGTACTCTGAGAGTCCGAAATCAAATTGGACCTCGGAAAAAGACAAGAGGGGAGTAATTATTTATTTGTTTCTTTTGGGGATAATTAATTATTTATTTGTTTGATTCTACCTTCACTTAACATGCATGCATCACATGTTGAGGGCAATCGTGTCAAAAATGCAATGCAAAGAACATCAATTAATCAACTAGCTAGCGTTGATATTTACGAACTAACATCACTTGGAGAAATTATACAATATTGGAGTGGTATATTGAATTTTCTCCAAGTATCTTGAACCCATTTTATTTTATTTTTTTTTGGTTTTTTTTTCTTTTTTTGGGAATGATTCAGTGTATTCAAGACTTTACTTCGATTAATTTTGGAAGATTCAGAAAGGGTGACCTCCCCACTCTAAACCGCATGTATCTGGAATTTTTTCTAGAATCAAATGAGGTTTTAAGTTGGATCGATCAACTACTAAGCCAATTATATACACACACAAGAGGTAATCAAGAATGAGGATATGAAAGACCACATAAAAAAAAATAAAAAAAAAGGGTTGGATTTGACGTACGTACCATCCCCGTTATCATTTGCCCGTAAGACGATGAAGACATACTTGAGAAGAGGAATGAGAGTGAGGGTGTAGAAGATCAAAGAGAGAACACCCAATATGTCATCGTTGTGTTTAATTTTTCCGTCGCTGAAAGTGCTGGCATACACGTAAAGAGGTGAGGTTCCGATGTCTCCATACACTACCCCGAGGCTCTGGAATGCTAGATGCAGTATCACCGACCAATCCGCAGTACCCTTATAAATAACACAACATCGGTCACCTAGATGATAATAATAATTGTAACACATAATATATATATATATATATATATATATACCTTGGAGTTGTGAGCGTGATGGCCTTGAATCTTGGCGGATTCAATATCCAAGGAGTCATGTCGCCTGAGCTTTTGCCAAGAAAGTTTCTTTCCATTTAGTGGTTTCTGGCTAAATGCTTGATGATCACTAGTACCATCTTCTACTACATGATCAGGACTAGACATTTCCACAAATATATTGTACCCAACAAGAAGATTGAAATTAAAACTAAACTCACACTTTCACACACTGTATATATATATATATATATATATATATATAGTGAGAGAGAGGGGGGTACCGTGTGGGTGTTATTATGCTGAACCTGGTGACTCAGGAGAGGTATTTAAAAGCCTATAAAGTCGGCCATTGCACGTGTGAAATTATCATCCCACCACCTCTCACATTGGGTTTCGGAGCTTGGTCTCCATGTCATCACTCTGTGAAAAAGACTACTCTATGTGATAAAAGTAATATTTTGATTAAAAAAAAATGTAAGGAAATATTATTAGATTTTCCTGCCCACTTTCAGAGTCTATTTAAAAAGACTGGTTTCAAAAAGTATTTTCTATAAAAGAATTAAATATTAATTTTGATTGAACTGATTATTCAATTTAGAGTAAATTCACAAAGTATATTCTAAAAAAAAAAAAGAAGGTAAACATTAATTCTTATTGACCGAAACAACCAAGTGACACATGATCTAATTTAAAGTAAATTCACAAAGTATATTCTAATTAAAGAATTTTAAGCATTATTTGTAATTGAATTGGACTATCAAATGACACATAGTTCAAATTATAGTATATTTACAAAGAATATTCTAAGAAACTGGGAGAATTATCTTATTTGAAAGATCAAACTATGACACTGCACGCAAGAGATTTGGAATTAAATTGAGGCAAAAAAACAAAATATTATTTTCGTTGAACTGAACTACTAAACTAGTAACATCTAACAAATTTTCAAGTTTAAGAATAAAAAGTGAAAAAAGTTTAATTATGGAAAAAAAAAAAAAAAAAAAAGTTTGTTTATATTTTTGTAGTAGCTTTAGAAGGTTTGTTCACTTCTTTGGTGGGTAGTTTTGTATGTAATCATTTACTACAACAAAATAAATAAGAAAAAGTAAGCTAATATATTTGTATATAGCTTTTCAAATATATATATGTATATATATATATCTAGGAAAGTGAGATAATGTTTGGTGTAATCATAATGGTGGTGGTTAAATAAAAATCCTTGCATGATTTTTAAAAAAATAAGTTACAAAATGTTTTCTTTAAAGAAAAAAATTGTTTCTTCTCAAATTTGATACCAAAAACCAATATAGGAGGACTATTGGATCGCAGGCTAGCGCAGTGAGTAGTAGTTGGGGAAGTTTCTACGAGGGAGAGGGAGGATGTTCATTTTAGTCACGTGAGATATGTGTCTGCTTTCGCTGCTACCTCATCACCCACCTCATGGGAAGGCTTCTCATGTTTGACCGACAAAAACCCTAAGAAGGATACAATGAATTTGAGAGTCAAAGTCTGGATAACAATTTGAATTTGTTTCGGTGCAATTTTTTTCCATGCATACTATTATTAAGTGGTCCACCATGCCAGAAACAAGTTGATTTTTTTACGCATGTTAATTAATTTTCACTTATTATGAAAAATCTATAGTGGAATATTAGTGGGCATATGAAACTAGACATCAAATTTGAGTTCGCATCGCCTTCTTTGTACCCACATACACACACGTACATGTGGTGAATACGGTAGAGAAAATTAAGAGGCGGATGTGAAAAGGCATGTTAGCAAAAATTAAGCAGAATTTATTAATTAATGCATTTAATAAATTTAGTCAACCTCAGAAGTTTGTTCCATTTAGGTTGGACCATTTTATTATACTTCTTCCTGATTGGTGCGGTTGTCAATTGAGTGATGACCTTATGAGAACAATAATTTCACTTTTTTTTTTTTAATTCAAGAATTAATATTAGTTGCACCATTAGCTATCCTATAACGTTACATTTACGGAATATCCTAATTAGTCCAATCTTAATCAATTATTACAAGTAATTTGTTTATTTTATGTTTAATCCTAACAATGAAGAGTGTAAGAATCAGCATTTTAGTTGTGTGGTGGTAGTATATTCTCTCGTTGGAGTTGTTTTCCATCTCGTGTTTTCAAAATTGATTTTTTAATGGAGTAACCTCACGGTCCTCACAACTAACTAAACCCTCTGTTTCTTTATGAAAAAAGACTTACTTTATTTTATTTTTTATTTACGTAAGCTCAATGAAGTTCTCAACAAGTCAACTCAGAGCGAGATGCTAATTAATTACTGTAATACATTAGGATAAACTAATATTTCGTAATAATTTAATTTATTTCTCATTTTTTGTCAAATAGTATGATAATTAATACAAACCTAAACTTCTCTAGCTTGTAAGGGAAATTCAAAATGCCTACTCTACCACCAGCCGGTAATCGGGCTTGTAATAATGATAATTAAATTACTCTTTAATGTATTGTATAACTCTAGTACATTTATTAAGGAAAAAAAAAAATTGACATAATAAATTCAACCACAAATTATAGTGTCTCCGGTGGATTCTGGAGTGACAGATTTCGACTTTCTTTGTCTTGTTAGAAAATAATAATAAAAAAAATAAAAAATAAATTGTTGTGTAATTGTTTTATATTAACTTAATTAATTTTTTTAGAACATGTATCTCGGCCCCATAACACAATCACTATTTAAATCAGGAGTGCAATTCAAAAAGTAAATCTCAAAAACTTACCTCTCAAATACTTCCGTTATGCCATATGAGAAATACCAACTTAATTGTTTGAGAGGCATTTTTTGGTTGGTTATTATCTGTTGGTGCTCTTTGTAATGTTGAGGGGTCGGTGAAAAGCCGCTTTTAAACGTGTTTTGATAGTTAGTCCATGCTCTACGCGTTTTAAGTGAGAAATGGGAATGGGTTTTGTGTATGCTTGTAGAGCTGTATGTGATCTTTTCAGTGACTCACTTCTTTTTTCGATTAATTAAAAACTTAAACTTAAATTATTAACGTCACAATCACTTTACATATCATTTTCATTTCTATATTAATAGGTTTCTTGTTTTTATTTTAAATTATTAATGTGTGGTTGATTTTTTGTATGTGTTATTTTGCACTACTTTTCTTTCTCGATCTCGATCTTGGTTTTTCCAACGCACCTTGGTAAGACTTGCTAGCCCACATGCGCCAAAAGTAAGATATGGTATTCAAATAACAATCTATTTATGTATTATATAATTATATTATCCACAATTATTGTGCCCATTTGTCCAAGCTTTGTTCCGATTTCAAATAAAATAAAAAGAGCTGACGGATACATAGTTCGTTTTATTCAGCACACATATATTGTCTATCTGTGTGTGTATTATATAATATTGAAGGGTTGGTTTCTTGGTTGTAATGAGTTCAAAAGAAGGTGTATGAGCCTTTCTATTTTTGTTGGCACCTTAACCATCAGTACGTATTAAATATATTTTGCAAACGCATTTTGGATATGCATGTCAACGTAGGAATATTCGACAACAAAGACAAATGAATCCGAATATGAGTTTTGTATTTCATGAGAACTGATTGTGATCATAAGATTAGGAAATGTGGTATATATATTATTTGATATTTGTGAATCGATATATACATAGTATAAGCCAATGTTAAAGGTTGGTTTATGTGCTTTGGTTTTACTAAAGAATGAATCTCAGAGGCGGTTTACATTTGTGTTGAATACATGGTATGAGTTTGACACAATATTTATTAATCAAGAAACTTTAAATACAATTAATTAAATAAATTTCCTTCTCCATCTTTTTGCATTATATTATCAAAATGAAATTCAAAAAACAAATATACCACACATTGTAACATGTTTGGGTACTTTTATGGTTGTCAACAAAGATGAGCCTTTGCCCTCATTTTTGAACCATGAAAATGGACTTTAAAGTACCTGAAGTCTTCTGTTTTTGTACCACTGAGACTGGTTAACAAGTTGCTAGCTAGTCTAGAGCCACGTGTTTGTGTGATCAATTCGTCAACTTGTGCGATCTTTTTTTTTTGAAAGATAAGATAAATTTTATTGGATGAAGAAGTATTAAACTTGTGCGATCTTCTTTCCCAGAACAATGGCGTATATATATATATATACACACACACATTAATATATATATATATATATATATATATATATCTTTATTATTCTTATTAAAAATAATATTTTATTTAATTAGTTACCTAGTTTATTACTTGTCAAATATATTTTAGGTTTAAAATATAGATAGTATATTTTATTTATATATATATACATAGAGAGTAAATCTAGAAAGTGAAAAAGAGAAAGCTAGAGAGAGAAGGAAGAGAAAGAATAAGGACCCTTAGAGAACGAGAACAAGGAAGAAAAAATTTATCTTTCGATCCGAAAGTTTAAGGCAAGTTCTTTATTATACACTTATCCTTTAGATATGTGGTCTATATGTCTCCAGTATATCTTTATGGATGTTTAAAGGATTATTAAAATTGGAATTCATGTTTAAATTAATCTAGAACATAGGTTTTTATGAGTTTATGTTCATGGTTGTTCTTGTTATATGAATTGATAAATTAATGGCTTAGATCTAATTTTTAATGGATTTCTACATGTAATAATGATGTATTTTCGTGCTTGTGTGTTGATGGGACTTAGAAACATACTTTAGGATCCTTAACAATGGAGAATATGGTTTAAAATGTTGTATCTTGGGTTGTTTCACGAAACAGTGCTCGAGCACCCCTTTCTGAGAAACAGTGCTCGAGAACCCTTGGGAGGGTTCTCGTGCACCCTAAAGATGAAACAGTGCTCGGGCACCCTTTGGGGAATTTTGATAAGGATGCTTAAAATGACTCCAAATTGATTATTAAAGGTCTCGAACACTAAAAAGGGACTCAGGATGATCTTACGTGAATTTTAAATAGGCTTGAACATAACAATGCATGGCATTTGAATTATTTAAAAAATATATGAATTTAATTTTTTAAGTTGTTTTAACAATTGAGATTAAATGTTCAGCATGTGATATATTTGGAGAATGCTTACCTGGCTGTAAAATAAAATATCAACATAATTAAGATTCAGTTTATATTTGATACATGATGTATGAAGTTTAAATAAATTATAAGTCATTCATATGATTTGATAACATAATATTATGTTATACGCTGTTATGATATAATATGATTATAATCAATTGCATATCTATCGATCTGTATTTTATAATCTCGAGACATGATATATA